GAATTTAATAAGTTAGACCCATTGAATTTTCTATGCATTTTTTTTGATCAATGTAAAATATTATTCGGTTTAGAGATCAAATCGACACGAGCAACCGCTCGATCTATTTCAATTAATTTCTTGTTTTTATTAAATAAAATTATTCAAAACGTCTATTGATTTTAATGGTATTTTTTTAGAGGATATGTAATGAAATTTTGTTGCAATGTGAGCACGTCAAATAATAACATGTAGAGATGCAATTAGTATCAGTAGAGATTTCAGATCGGTTGGTTGTCGATATTGCTGACTCTTCTCTTTCTCTTCTTTAATAATTAAAAAAATAATTATAATATTTTGTTAAATATAAGTTCTAATGAATGTTTTACTTCTTACAAACACTAGCCGCCTTCGTCATACACCAGATGACATGTTTAATCTTTCTTACTAGTTAACTAACACGTTATCTAATTTGATTAAACAACTTTGTGAAAAGGTTCTATTGTCATTATTTCACAAGTCTCTTTTGATTATCTGATAGATTGTAATTCTAATGAACTATTCTGTTTCAAAAATTTACTGCATTTTTGCAAAATATACTATCAAATACCTCGATTCATATTTGTTCAAATGTAAAAAATATATTCTCTAATACAATACCTATCGAGTTGAATTCTACCACCTTTTAATGCTATTGAAAATACTGGCCCAACACCACCAAGTACTATAAAACCTAAATATTTGCATATATAAAAGTAAATAAAATATAAAATATTTTTCTAATCATTTCTCAAACCTCGTATAATAGCAGCAAGAAGACCGACAATAATAACTATTGCTTGTAAAACATCCGTCCAAATGACTGCTTTCATACCACCCTATTATCAAAGTAAATTATATTCTTTGCTTTTTTTTTTTGTATTCTCTTCTTTCTAACATACCACTGATGAATAAAATGTACAAATTACACCGATCGAAACGACAGAAAGCCAAATATTCAAACCAGTTGCTAAAAACAATTAAACTTCGTTGTTATTGTTTCTTATTCAATATTGAATAAATGACTCACTTTGACTTAGTGCTAATGCAGGAGCATATAAAACAATTGCCATATATATTAACTATTCATTTTAGGGAAATAAAACATAATAGATTTCAATAGATTCTTTACCATAAAGAATGAAAATGCAAATGAAGCACACATGCGTACTGAACGATCAAAACGTTTTTCTAAATACTAGATAAATTATTGTGTAATATCAAATGTTAGAAATATAGAAAATACTTCATAAGCACTTGTACAATTCAGTTCACGAAATTTAGGCATGAATACTAATGCTGTTATTGTTGAAGCTATTGTCCATGATATAGCTAGAAAAAATTGATATTATCGATTTTTTATTTAACAGACAATGAACAATTATATTTTGATTTAAAAACAAAAACAACGAAATCATAGACAAGTGCATTCTAAAAAAATTTCTGTTGCAAAATTTTAAAAGGTTCATCGTGCGGATACAAACTCAGAACTTTTTTTTGGTTTCGTACCAAACTTAAAAAAGATTTCGAGTGTGTATCCACGCGAAGAACCTTTTTAGATTTTGTAATAGAAATTATTTTTATTCTTTGATGTTGAATGAGATATTCAAATCAATTTTTAATATTCATTATCTAGTTTTTTTACGAATGTAAAATGCAAATACAAGGATGATCTAAATTAATTTTCGTTGTTTGTTAAGAGAACATGTGAATCTATATAATCTGAAATCATTCCGAATCGATAGATGACTACTCTCTACGTATTTCCTTTATATAAATTCTATAAATTAAAGTCTGAAAGAAGAAATAAATAAATATTTCACCTTGATAGCAATACATAGTTCCGTATATATAGACTTCACTCGGTGTTCCTAATAACGTAATAGCTGAGAGAAACGAAACCATAATACTAAGAGCTGTTGGAAATACCTGAGTATAGAATTATCAACCTAAAAGAAAAATAATAATTAAATGCTTACTCCCATACCACCGTCAGCTACAATAGAAAAGCAAAAACAAAAAAAAATGATTCAAATTTTCCATCAAATGCATATTTTTAAATAAATACCTAGAAGAAATTCTTTAGCTGAACTCTTTTTTGATTTAAAAAAACCAAATATAGCACCAATCACAGCCGATGATAGAAGAAGCATAATAAGAAGAACATAATCAACAGCGCTCAATGTACGTAATGCCATTTTCTTCTTTTTTTGAAATATACAATAATTTCCAACGAACTGTTTATTGTTTTCTTTATTTTTGATGAGTACTCTACTAGAACAAATAAGAAGGATAATAGTAACGACAGTTCGTATATATAGGCGTAGGAAGAAAAGAAATAAAGAAACAACGTAATATAAATACTTTCTTTTCAATGAAACAGCAATCTAATGAATAGATTATAAGATGATGCTATAATAGTATATATGTCACAATGATAATGATGAACTTTACCTATTTTTGTATTTTATACAAAACATTTTCGAAGACAAAAACACGAACATTTATGTAGTAGAATAAATATTCAATCATCATAAAAAATAGATAAGAAAAAAACATCGCATACATTCCATCCATTCAAAGCAAGTATCTACAATACGTCTGTCTTACGTTGTTTTTGTTTTACAAAATATGAGGACCTTTGTTTACTACAACATCTAATGTCTTCATACAAATAACCTTGAACTACGAAATAAATACTTATTCGATGAAAATATCATTTGAAATATCATGATTGAAAATTATTTTTGTTTTTTGTCGGAATTTTGTGCTAATGTTCTTTAAATGCTAGATGACCTCTTACACATTATAAGGTATTATTCTCACTTCTCGTATAATAGAGATTATCAACACGTGATCAACGTACTTTTCTACTATCCATATAAAAGTGCAGATTATACGTATAATAGTTAATATATATCTGTCAAGTGAAAGAGCATAAGTTACTGAGGGTTTGACTTTAAGAAAAGAAAGTTAACAAGAGGATGATTTGATACATGATAATAGGAGTACTCTTGTCTAGCAAGGGATACTTAAATTTGTTTATCATGTAGTTCATTTCAATAATGATCCGTCTATTAAACACCTATGATAGAGATGGAACTGGTTCGGTCGTGGTACGGATTACAAACAGATCGGTCACCAGTAGACCAGTCATTACCAGTGTGGCTTATTCATTTTTTTTGCTTTTATTATCTCATAGAGAATGTGTAATGAAACTTTGTTGAACGTTTACTACGTCAAATATTACTATTCACAGATGGAGTAGTATGACAGCTCGTCAGTTCAGTGTCAGTATGAGTTTCAAACCGGTTCCATCTCTGATCTATGATATCATTAATATGTACTGTCTTGTGTTGGCAAACTAGTTAATCATAAGAAATACTTCGTATGATCATAGAGCGTGAACGATTATAGAATCATAGTCTAATTTTTTGTTCAACCAAGAGCCATTGTACAAAATCAAGACTTTTGATGAAGCTTCATTTATCTATCCGCTATCACATACACTAGTTGTTATGAAAAAGAAGTGAACAGAAAATATAGCATAGCTATTCATCTTCGATCTACGTCATTTTTAAGATTTGTGATTGACCGTATTTTGAAATCTTCCCACTCCAAACCTAATTCAGACTAGCTGATTCATACTCAATCGACAAGGTTTTGTCGACTACACTCTTCTTTCATATCGGCAAACTAACTATATGTAATACGTAGAGCACTTTTCTAGGTTATCGTTATCAGATCGATGTAAAGACTTTCGATCCCTTTACTAAACAATTAAAGTTAGTATAATATTTTTTCCTTAATTATGATAGAGACGAATTATTCTGCTTGAATATTACACAAACAGTCCCTAGTTGAAGAAATTTGTACGTTTGATGACGATCGACGTATACTAGACATGTCGAATCTCTCGTTTCTTTTTACATAAGGAAGTAAAACCACTTAGTGCAGTTAACTCAAAAATCTAATATTTGTACCGTACGAAGACAGTCTTTATAATTTTGAAGTAATTAAAGGATGTATAGAATAGTAGTGAGTTCATATTGGTTTTTCTATCTATTCTTAAAAATGTTGTGTCACAAATTAAGGCTTTAAAACGAGCCGAAACGAACCAAAGCCGGTTCATTCTCTGATTTTAGATATCTGAAAAAAAGTGTCGTGTCTTCTTTTCTTTTTCTAGCTGTTGAATGATCAGAACTAAAGTTCGCATGATCAGTCGTTAGTCACATTATCAACAAGAGAAATGACCATAACGATACAATATGTTTCACTGTCTTTCGATGCTAATACAATCAATATAAAAAGAAACAAAGTGATACAGTCGGCTGTTAAGTTTTACATGTAGACAATGGAATATTACACATCACTATAAGCCTTTATGTAATCGATTCCAGTTATATATCGTGTATTATGTCGAACATTATGGAATGTGCAAACCACATATTTTCATTGAAACAATTTTGATTGCTCAGTCAAACGCCTTCTTCTTGAAGCTGCTATGGTGAAAATGTTTAAAAGCTTTTCGAGATCATTAAAACATATGCTAGTGACATCTTCGTTCAACAACTGCATTCAGACGTATTTATACATTGCCAAGAGTCAAAAGAGTTTTAAAAAATGATTTACTTGATAATTATCAAATTCGCATACTGAAGTAATATAAGTCTTCTTAATTTCTTCGGTTTTAACGTCTGAATTAAGTTTATCATTTTCTTAACATTCATTTTTTATTCTCTTCTATTACTTTGAGAGGAATAAAATATAAAAATTTTCTGACCAAGATCTTTCGAAATTGATGTATTTAGATTCAAGCATATTAATACCATATACTGTTCGACAATTTCAAAAAGATGTAGAGGTGTTTCTATGTCAACGACAAACTTCATGGTCATAGTTTTATTTGTTCGTATTCTTCATTTATTTATTCTCTCAGTATAACTAACCAATGGCCAATTTAGAACAACCACCTATAAATGATGATATTAATGCAGCTGATATTCTTCTTCAAGATCCATCTTTATCATCAGTAAATATAAATGCAGGTGGTCCACCACAATTACCATCTCATATATTACAAATAATCGATCATGAACTTAATTCGTCAAGTGCTCCATCACTTGCTGATATTCAAGCTTATCCAACAGCAGCTTATTTTAATAAAACAGTGATTCCAATTATTATTGAAGGTCTATCAATTGTAGCAAGAGAAAGACCTAAAAAACCAATTGAATATTTGGCAGCATTTTTTATTAAAAATCGAGAACGATTTGGTGAAAGTGCTTAATTGATTAAAAATAAAACAAAAATTTAATGTAAAAGAATAATTGTCTTTGATAAATATTACAAGTTACTTATATTAAACAATATATGAAAGAAATTTTGCATTCGAGATTTTTCTATAGTATCGATCATAGACAACTGACATAAAAAGTGAGATATGCAAAATGAAAACATAAAATACAGGATGAATATAAGATACGATGAAATTAATCATAAGATATAGAGATGACTCAAAAAACAAAAGAAGAATTCAAAGTCTATTAAAGAAAACATTTTTCCCAATCAATCTAATTTCCAATTATAGATTCTAAATGAATAAAAGACTAAAAAAGTAGATTTTACGATCTTTTTCATTTTAATCTAAACCATTTGCACAATCACATACTAACTAATGTCAGATCAGTTGAGTAAAGAGAAAAAAGTATATCTCATCTCAGATATCAGTTAAGCGTAGTTTATCCTCAATTGATTCTAATTCGAATTATATTTATAAAAATAGAAATAAGATAAGACATGTCGAATCAAATTTTATTTTTATTTCAAAATTAATCGTCAATGAATCTGTAGATGTTTTATCCTGGATGTTAAACAGTCTATTAATACGTATTTATTGGACAGCTTATAAAAATTAAAATTAACAAATGAATTGATTATTCGTTTGATATATACATCTTTGAATAATTTTTAATTTAGGACAAATTCTTTGTTCTTTGAATCAAAGACGAAATATAATTATTTATTTAAACAAGTTGGTACTTGACAAATTACTCAGGAGATTACAGATGAGAAAACAAACTTGTGGAACTTTGAAATCAATATATTTGTTATTACATTCTTCTTTCGATATAAGAAGAGATGACTTAAGCTCATGAGTATTCAACCGCTTTTTAAAAAAAGTTTGCTTTAATCAACTTTTGTAGTCGTAGTGAGATAAGAAGGAATCAGAGAACGCTTTTGCCCGAAAAAGTTGACTGACTTTTGTCTGAAATGGTAAAGATTTGGAGCGTTTTATAGAAACATCTAATGAAAGTCTTATTCGTACCTTAATGCTTTTGAGCTTTTTTTTTGTTCATAATTAGAAAACATCTAAACCAATAGAATCTCAAAAAGATATTTCTTTCTATTAAAAAAAACCTTTTCTAGAAAAGCGGTTGGATATCCAAGATTTTACTAAGGTATTAAAAGAACACGAAAATGATATTTACGTCATATATAATTTTTTCTTCATTTTC